CGATGGGTCTGAGCGTACAGACTAACCTAGACCAGCCCGTGCGGCTGTCGGCATCGAGTTCTGGAGCAGCCATGGGGCATAACTCATCTGTTCTACACCGTGATGAGGGTGATGGAGTTCTCGGACCCACATCGCATCTAATCGCAGGTTCGCCACATGATTCCCCTCCGCGTTTTGTTGATGGGGCCAGTTCAGATCGAGATTGCGGGGGTCGCCATCCGCTGTTGCCGAAAATGGAGTTCCCAAAGTTTGATGGCTCGAACCCTCGTTGGTGGCGTGATCAGTGTGAGCTGTATTTTGAGATTTACTCTGTGGCACCATTTTTGAAGACACGCTTTGCCGCCCTAAATTTTGTGGCTCCCGCTTCTGTTTGGCTTCAGTCAGAAGAACGCCGTGGTCGGTTTCAAAATTGGGAAGACTTGGTGAAGGCAGTGCTTGCCAAATATGACCAGGACCAATATCCAATGTAGTTGAGGCATTTGGATTCTCTTAAGCAGACTGGTTCGGTTTATGACTATCAGACAAGATTTGAGGAATTAGCCCATGGTATCTTGCTGTATAATCCTGCTTATGATGATACTTTCTTTGTCACACGATTTTTGGGGGGTCTTAAGGAGGAGATCCGATCTACTATTGCTCTATACCGACCAAAGACTGTGCAGATTGCCAGTGAATTAGCTTCTTTGCAGGAAATGGAATTGGAGTTGCAGAGGCCAAAATTTTCTCATAAGTTAGAGCATAGCAAGTTTTAGGGTACCAAGTCTCAAAATGCTAATAAGCCCAAAGCTGTGATCAAGAAGGATGAGGTCAAGAATGGAGATGTTGAGCCAATAATTTATGCTTCACATGTGGTGAGAAGTGGACTGGCCATGGACACAAATGCCCCACTCATGTGTCTATTCATGTGTTGCAAGAATTCATAGATGCAGTGCATGTGGAACCTGAAGCTGATTATGCAATAGATGATGAGGATACAAAAGCTGATGTCGGTCAAGTGGTAATGGTAGTGTAGCCACAGCCTCAACCATCAAAGAGGAGCAGGACTCTTAGGTTTAGAAGTTGTATTAATCAACAAGAGATTCTGATCCTTTTGGATTCTGGCAGCTCAAGCACCTTTATCAACTCTGACCTGGTGGAACGATTGAACTTAGCCTAGCATGACTGTGATTCTCTCAAATTCATGGCAGCTGATGGCAGTTCATTATTATATGACAAAGTCATTCCACAGTTGTAGTGGGTTGTGCAGGGCCACAACTTCCATTTTGATGCTAGAGTATTGTCTTTCAAAGGCTATGACCTCATCTTGGGAGCAGATTGGTTAGAGGAACATAGTTCCATGTGGTTCCATTGGAAGAAAAAGTGGATGAAATTCACTCACAATAACAAGAGAATTTTGTTGCAAGGAGTCAAGGATGACTTGACAATTTGTTCTCAGGTTCCTGCTTACAAGTTAAAAGGGCTACTTAAAAGATGTGATATCACCCACATGTTGGAATTGCAGCATATTCAGTCTCTTCCAAGGCAGTCCAGTGACCCTCAATAATCTCTTGCTGTGATTGAGGACATCACCCAGCCTAAGACTAAGTATGATAATCTGCTTCCTCAACTAGTTCAGTCATTACTGCAGCAGTACAATCATCTGTTTCAGGAACATACTGGTTTACCACCTCAGAGAGCATCTGATCATCACATCCCTCTCATACCTGGAGCTCAACCTGTGAATGTTAGGCCCTATAGGTATGCTCCTCAACAAAAAGATAAAATAGAAAGGCAGGTGAACGAGATGCTCAAATCTGGAACTATAAGACACAGTGTGAGTTCTTTTGCCTCTCTAGTCTTGTTAGTCAAGAAAAAGGATGGGTCTTGGAGATTCTATGTTGGTTATAGGCACCTGAACAACATCACTGTGAAGAATAAGCATCCCCTTCCTATTGTGGATGAGTTATTGGATGAATTGGTTGGGGCTTCATATTTCTCTAAGTTGGACTGTAGGTCCGGTTATCATCAAATAAGAATTGTTGAAGATGATGAGCTCAAGACTGTATTTAGAACTCATAGTGGGTTGTATGAGTTTAGGGTCATGCCCTTTGGACTGACCAATGCTCCAGCTATATTCCAAGGTGCCATGAACAATATTTTTGCTCCACTATTGAGGAAATGTGTGCTCATTTTCATGGATGACATCTTGGTATTCAGTGAGACTATGGAATAGCATGTGCATCACCTACAAGAAGTATTCAAAATTTTATAGAACAATCAGTTTCTTCTGAAGAAGTCCAAGTGTGTTTTTGCACAGAGATCATTAAAGTATCTGGGCCACATTGTGTCCTCAGAAGGAGTAGCTACTGAACCTTCTAAGATTCAGGTAGTAACTCAATGGCCTGAACCAAGTAATGTGAAGCAGCTAAGATGGTTCCTTGGTCTCACAGGATATTATAGAAGATTCATTAAGTACTATGGGCTTATCAGCAGACCATTGACTCAGATGTTGAAAAAGGGAATACAATTTCAGTGGACCCCAGTAGCTCAGGAGGCTTTTCTGCTGCTTAAGAAGACTTTGACAGAAGCCCCAGTTCTAGCAATACCAGATTTTAGTCAGCCTTTTGTAATTGAAACTGATGCAAGTGAATTAGGTATGGGAGCAGTACTGATGCAAAATGGCCATCCCATATTATTTCTGAGCAAACCTTTTAGCTCTAGGTCCAGGGCATTCTCTACCTATGAGAAGGAGTGTCTTGCTATCATCATGGCAATAGAGAAGTGGAGGTCATATTTGCATGGACAGGAGTTCTTGATCAGGACTGACCACAAGAGTTTGTTCCACTTGGAGAATCAAAAAGTGGTGTCCAAGATTCAACAAAAGGCTCTACTAAAATTGATGGACCTCAGGTACAAAATTCAGTACAAGAAAGGAATCACTGATGCTGCTGTTGATGCCTTATCTAGGGCAATGGAAGAACCTCCTATCCTGGCTATTTCATTAAGTACACCAACTTGGTTGAACAGGCTTCAGCAGGGTTATGAGGATGATGATGAAGCTAAACAGTTGTTGGCTGAGCTTAGATTGCATGAGGAAAACTCAAGAGGGTTTAGTCTGCACAATGGCATCATTAGGAAAAAGGGTAGAATCTGGGTGGGCAATAACACTATAGCTTAGCAACATATTTTGCAAGCTTTACATGCTGGTGCAGTAGGAGGGCATTCTGGGGTTCAAGCTACTTATCAACGGATTAAGGCTCTTTTTGCTTGGCCAAAACTCAAACAAACCATCACCCAGTTTGTCCAGGGCTGTCATAAATCAGTCAGCAAGCTAAGCATGAACATGTGAAACTGCCTGGGTTACTGTAACCCCTGCCAATACCAGAGCAGGCTTGGCACACTGTGAGCTTGGATTTCATAGAAGGATTACCCAAGTCATACAAGTGGGATGTCATCCTAGTGGTGGTGGATAAGTTTTCAAAGTATACACATTTTTTACCTCTTTCCCATCCATACACTACATTACAGGTTGCTCAGACCTATTTCAACAATATATATTGCCTAGTGCCATCATCTCTGATAGGGACAGGATTTTCACAAGTGCATTATGGCAATAGCTGTTCACTCTGTCAGACACTAAACTCCTCATGAGCTCATCTTACCATCCACAAACGGATGGCCAAACTGAGAGGGTGAATCAGTGTTTAGAGGCATTTCTCAGATGCACAGTTCATTCCTGTCCAAAGGAGTGGTACAAGTGGTTACCATTAGCTGAGTTTTGGTACAACACTACATATCACTCAGCTTTGCAAACCACTCCCTTTGAAGTGTTGTATGGGCATCCTCCAAGGCATTTGGGCATCTATGATCCATTGGACGTTACTATTCCTGATCTGGCATCATGGCTCACAGAAAGGAATTTGTTGACCAAATTGATGCAACAGCAGCTATTAAGAGGCCAACAGCGAATGAAGAACCAATCAGACAAAAATAGATCGGAGAGGGAGTTCAGTGAAGGGGATTTAGTATACTTGAAACTTCAACCTCATATACAATCATCTGTGGCATTTCGCAGTAATCACAAGCTATCCTTCTGGTATTTTGGGCCTTATAAGATTTTGTCCAGGGTTGGATCAGTGGCTTATAAGCTTGACTTACCTCCTTCAGCTGCTATTCATCCAGTGGTCCATGTCTCGCAGTTGAAGAAGCATATACCACCGGGCACGGAGGTACTTGATTCTCTGCATGTTGTTGCTACTGACCCAGCTGCTCAAGTTATCCATGTTCAGATTCTGTCGTCTCGAGCAATCTGGAGGGGTGGGTCTCTGGTTAAGCAGGTATTGGTACAATGGGCTAATTAGCCTAAGTCTATGGCTTCTTGGGAAGATGAGCATGACATGCTTCGCCGGTATCAGACAGCTTGGGGCAAGCTGTTGCCAAAGGAGAGGGCAATGTCACGACTACTAGTGGCTAAGCAATTGGTTTGTACTGGGCTTGGCCCAATAGTTGGTAGCTGGGCTTAGCCCATCTTGTGAAGTCGGTTGCGGCAGTGTTATAAGCCGTTGTAACAAACTCAGTGGTTACGGAAGAACATAACTCTGAATCCCAACTGAATCCTCCCAAATCTTTCTCTGTTCTTACTCTTTCAACTGGGAATTGCCTTGATTCCTTCTACCTGAGAAAAGTCGTGGCACGCAGGCGGCGCCCGCACCCCACTCACGCTGGGGCCGCTGGCCACCCGCCCGCGTTATCGGGGCTCGATCTGGGCCGTCCACGTGCCTGATCCGATGGCCGGGAACGGCGATCGACGTGGCCACACTCACTGGCTCGCTTTTTGGTGCGTAAATCGTATTAAGAGAAGATGTGCGTAAATCGCTTTTGCCGTGTATCGTGCTCGTATACCCCCACCGAAACCGCAGTCGAGGCCTCGAGGGTGCAAAACACAGACCCGTCAACTTCCCTTCTCCGATTCCCCAATCGGCCGACTTCCGATCCCTAACCCTAGTCCCATCGCCGCCGCGATGCTCCGCTCACCGGGCAATTCGCCCCGCCGCCTCTCGCCGTCGCCGTCGCCGACACCCGCACCCTCCACCCCTCGCCCGCCCTCCCCGACCCCCTCCACCGCCTCCGCCCTCGCCACCGCCTCTTCGAAGCGCCGCCGGCCGGAGGTGCTCGACGAGGACACATACGTCGCCGCCATCGAGCGCATCATCGAGCGGGACTTCTTCCCGGACCTCCCCCGCCTCCGCGACCGCCTCGATTGGCTCCAGGCTGTGCGGTCCCGCGACCCGCTCATACTCCGCGATGCGCAGCTCAAGATCCTGGACCGCCGCCGCCGCCTCCAGCGCCGTGGGACGGGGCCCGTCCCCACCCCGACGCCGGCCACCTCCACTGCGCTCCGCTCCCCGTCCTTCCTCACCACCCCCGCCGGATCCGTTGCCGGCGGCGTGGGAGCTCCCGAGGAGGAGGAGGAGAAGGACGACCTCGCGGACGCATTCTCCCTCGACGGCTTCTTCCGCCGCTTCACCAGCGAGGACAACGAGTCCTTCTCTCGCATTCTAGACAAGGTAAACCAACGCCGCCGCGAGCGCTACGCCCACCTACTGGAGCCTGCCGAGGCGGGGAATAAACCATTGTTGGAGGACGCCAAGCTCGATAGGATAACAGATGGGTATGGTACATCAGGGCAACCACCGAGTACACTTGAAGGCGCCAAGTTCGTGGCAAAGAACCTGCTCATGTATTACCCGGCTGACCGTGGGGAAGCGCCTCTCACAGAGGATGAGCGTGCAGAGCGGATCAAGGGGATGACCAAGGAGATAGACAAATCAAACACTAGATTACATGGCAGAGCCACGGCTGATGATGCGAGGCCCAAGGAGGAGGAGGCTGCCATATTGTATGCACTAGTTGCAGGCTCTACTCCAGGGGGGATGGCCTACCATGATCCTGACAAGTTGAAGAAGTATGATTTGGAGGATCTGAGGAAGACGCCGTGCCCTTTCTACCTTGAGTCAGACAAAAAGGCCAACAATGGATATAGTTTTGTGAGGACACCATCACCGGCACCTGGTGTGGATGAGTCGCCGTTCATGACATGGGGTGAAATTGATGGAACGCCGCTGAGGCTGGACCCTGATGAGACACCAGGTGGTAGCGAGAGAGCACATTTCAAGATCCCACCACCTCCTGCTCGTGATGTCAAGGCTCACCTGCTTTCAAGGGATGCTGCTAGGAAAATAAAGGAGCGTTCTAAGATCATCCATAGGCCGCCCTTACCATCCCCTGTGAGGGGAGGCAGTGCAAGCCCCAGAACCCTCTCACCAGCTGCACAAAAATTTGTCAGGAATGCCATCTCAAAGTCGGCAAAGTCCTCGAACACCATTGATGAATCTCTCCGTGCAAGCTACAGAGGTTCAACCCCATCTGCAAGCACTCCCAAGACAAGGTTTTCAAGAGACCCAGGCCTCGCATCGCAGTCTCCGTCAACAAGGCAGGGTTCCACCCCTCCCTGGTGATTTTTAGTAAGCCTCTTAATGTTATTTCAGAAAATGGATAAATGACCCATCCTGTACTGTAACAAATTGTGTAATGATGAAAGATTGGAAGTGATGCTTATTTACTTTCAATATCTGAGCCACCCTTACCAAATCACTGTCATGAGCATATATTTGCATGCTAAGTTCCAACATGCACTTCAATTTTCATCGGTTTAACATCTGTTTCAAAGGCTTAGGTGTCTGGGCAGACCCAGCTCGCCCTTTGTCGCCTTGTTGCCTTTAGAACAATGACTTCAACAAAAAACTATCATGGCATTGAAATACATGGTAAATTCACTCCTGTTGAACGCCTGTCATTTTCAGCTAAACATTCTAGATCAGTGGCCCTTGATATCAGAACAAGCTAGGAGCCAAAATAAAATGTACCTAGTAGCTAGGGCTCTTGATTTTGTTGAATGAAAATCCTTGTGATTTACTATGGATCATTCATGCTCTCGAGCATATTTTGCATTGGATAATATTAGTGATGATTATTCGATATCCCCTGTAGATATGCAGCTCGGTTGGGATGATGCATCAATCTTAATTCGCATACGTGTTACAAATGCTGGTGATTAGTCGGCCCGGGAATCTCTTAGTTGATCTGTTGTATTTCAGTCTGTCGGCTACAAGCAAGCAATGTTCCACATTAGCTAGCTAGCCTGATTACTTAAATTAGATAAAGCTTGATTTGGTCAACCAGCATATACACTGAACTGAATACCGGCAGTTTCTTTTGATTTTTGAATGGGGATACTCACTTCTTAAATAGACAGCTTACTTGACATTTGAACTCGAACAAGAGAAGAAAATGTTACCTACGCACGCACAAGTTTTTTTTTCTTTCTTCCAGACTAGTTCTACGCCAGTTATTTTATCCTGCGATGGTTGATCTTTGTTTGGCCAAAAACAGAGGCTTTATGTTTTAAATATAGGCATTTAAGTAACCTAACTCCAAATAATACAGATGGCTTACTAGCTGTAAGGTTTCTTGTAGCCTTCTCTTAGCTCATCCACATAGTAGTTAGCATTTCACTGTTAATACATGGCTCACTTGTCTCTTTCGTAGAGTTTCTTGTTTCTTACGTCCAAACCGGCTGTAATCTTACAGCCCGCTTCTTCTCTCTCTTCCCTTTCTCCTTCACCGTAGCATTTAACCAGTTTATAGCATATATACTTGCTCTCAGCAACAACATCCTTTGGCATATATAGTCATTATTAATTGTTGGTGTAAACTTTTTCAGGTCAACGCATGCTTTTGTGCCTTGATTATCTTTTCACTATCGGCTCAGCAGCATCTGCTCCCAACTTCCTATACACTTGATGTCAACAACCTCATGTAGGTCATGGTAGGTGTGCCTTGAGTTCTAGTCATAGACAAGACGATCGCAGCCAAATACAATAACACCGCTAATGGTTGTTAGCGCTCCTCTGACAAAAATTCTGCGGAGTGATATCCAAGTAACACACCTCTTTCTCCTTTCGAAGAAAAAAAAGGAAAGGAAAGAAAATAAAACCTCTTTTAGCTCGGCCATGTTCGTTTCGCTGGAATTTAACTTATATACTTATACTGATTTGTTGTGAGAGAAAAATATTGTTGTTCGCTGAAAAGTACGTTGAAGTAGTGCTGCAGATATTTTTTTTCTTGTTTTCTCGACAAGCAAGCTTGTGGTGGGCGTAAAAAGTGATGGTGCAGCTTAATACTGTTTCTGTTGTCGCTTCTCTGTGGCACGGACTTGAGCCGCGTTGACATAGAGAGGCTTATGGGGAAAAAATGGCCCGGCATAGATGAGTTGAGGTTGACATGACTCATGCCCACACCATAATATACAAGAGATTCCCGAGTCATTCCCACAGTAAAACTTATGGCAGTGAAGCGGTGAAGCTGATATTTCATACGGATTTCCAGTCCGAAGTACACCAGAAATAGTTGGATTAACCCGTGATATGTCATGTGTGCATCCGTCTCCGGCACGCAGGTGTGTCCCCGTGGCCTAAGTTTTTGTTAGGTCAAAAAAAAATGGAGACCAACCTCATGCCGGACACTCCACAGCTATATACATGCTGCCTAGTCATATGTCGCAGTCCTGCAGTTTTGTAATGTGATCGAGTCTATTAATATTTTAACGCCGTACCTGAAAAATATCAGGTCAAACACTCTTGAGTTCAAATTCTCTGGGGCCCAAAATAAACACACACTCTAGGAGCTCACTCTTTGGAGCCCAAAATAAACTAACGTAGAAGCAGCCTATTTGAATGAAGGCTCATGTTGCTTCTCCAATCAGACCTAGTTTTAGGATAACAATACATTATAGACGTCACTCTTCTTTCCACTCAGCAACTTTGGGATCGAGAGCCAAGTTCTTCAAAAGCTAAACTCTAGTCTAGTGGTTAAAAACCTGGGCAAGAGATAACAGGCAGGCCTAACATGGACCTTAGTGTTCTGTACATGCTCCATTACCGAACAGGATGGGCTAAGATAGGAACAGATCAACAAAACTTCCAACGGTTGAAACAACTGCAACATGGGTCATGGAATTCTCCATGAGATATAACATTTGCAGGCACCAACATGACATGCTCTGTCATCACTGCATCATCAGATTGGAGTAGGCGATAAAATAATTTATGAACGCAAATTGGAGAATTAACCAAAAAAAATATGTACATCACCCCAGATGGCAATAGGGGGTGCAAAAACCGCTGCCGTTTCTCAAAATTTGGTATAACACAACTCACAACACAACAGGCGGTGAGACAGTTTTTGTCAGGAAAAACACAGCCTACACAACACTCTTTTTGCCCCTATACCAACTAGTTCACTGGAAGTACCTTGCAAAATTTCAGGCCCAGACAGCTTAACAGACTATGATTTGGGGAGAAAGGCCAAAATAAGAAAATAGAACCCTGTATTTCCTTCTTAGGAGAAACTATTGCGGGATGAATTCCCCTGCATCGTAGATAGAATACAATGAATAAGGATGCCACCATGGTTGCCAGACTTGGTAAAGATAATGCCGAAGTAATACATCTGCAAAGCACAAGGGTAAGTTATGATAAATTGCATGTAGCCAAAATAAACTGAACCGAGAAATAAGAGTGAAATCGCACAATTTTCTTCGGTGGTGGTGTAAAAGCAAATAATGCATTTAGCCAATTGTGTTACACCCAACTAAAATAGCCATTAGGGTCACAAATTCACAAATCTAAAGCCAGACAATGCATGCAGCAGCATGCTTCTGCTACTGGGAGACAAATGTATGGAGTCGCTGAATGACTCCACACATATTGAACTACTCGAGTTGAATGCTCAGAACAACAGGAAAAGTACCCGAGAAGATGCATAGGAACAACAAAACACACCTTGGAGAGTTATAACCAAAAGAGATGGATATAAAAAGGTAGATAGCTTGAATTGCATTAGAGGCAAGAGATTACCTTCCAATCTCAGAAATGGTAGCTCTATGTACATTGATGGCACAACTAGCCTGCAAATTATAAGGAATTATGCCCAAAAAATCAGAAAAGAATACAAAAAGCAAAATAAGAAACAAAAGGATAGTAATAACTACCTATAATTGAATAACATAGTCGAGGAGTCTTTTGGTGGAAAACATATTGAAAATGAAAGAATGATGCTATCTGAAAACAAGACTCCCATTCCCTTGTGGTCTTATCTTCTCAACAAGCGATTGATAAAATGACCTGAATGCCTTGATATCATTTCCCTGTCAAAACAGAAAGGCACACATTACAACAAGAAACAGTCTTTTTAATCAATCCAAAAGAAAATTGCTATTTAAGATCCCACAAGTCAGCAACTTCTCACAATTCCACCTAACTATGAAATTGCCAAAAAGAACATAGGGCAAACAGTAGATGGGTTACTCATTCACTCAATTAACATTGAACTTAAGTTATTAATGTTCACTGCGCAAACCACCATTTGTTTTGTGATCCTTGCTGACAAGCATCCGACTATCAATATTCAACAGCACAGAAACAAAGTTTACCCACATCTGAGTTCACTAATTTAAGAAAAACTGATCCATATGGTAATGTCAAGCATCATATCAAGACAAATGTCAAACCAAGTGAGGTTAAAGAGAGAAGTAGCATACCTTCAACTTCTGGTAGTACTGTTCAGCTAGGTCCGGTGGGCAGTGAACTTCAGGAAGACCTTTTGCTACAAAGTTCACAATGAAATCCTCCCCAAATCTTTCATACATAATCTTCTGGGCCAGCACAATTTCACCAAAAAGGACAAGCTATAAAGAAAGAAACAAGTCAAATGAATGAAGCTGTTGAAGAAAAGTATCAATCCACCAGCCAAAAATACATTCACAATGCTGTTAAATTGACAAAACAGGGCATTCTGAGGGCCTGTTTGGATAAACTATGGCTAGCTAGTTGGCTAACAACCAGTTGAAGGCTTGACTAAAAAATTAGCCGACCTATGAGCCCTCCTATTTGGATGCGCTAGTGCTAATTTTATCTAATTTTTAGCTAGCTAGCAATTAGCTCTTGTATCCAAACAGGCCCCAAATCAAACAAATGTATTAAGGCGTGTATGGTAGCCGGTAGGTTGCCATGCCACAGATTCTTGGGGTGGGGTGTGTGTGTGTGTGTGTGTGTGTGGGCGGGCATCAACAGCACAACTGTGGGTTGCCAAACATGCGGAGAACAGATATGCCCTAATCAGCCTGAAAAGGTAATGTCAGCTGAAATTGGAATTGCCATTTAACCCAAGTTAACTTAAGCTATTAGACAGTGGTCAGGCAGGTCAGGCACTCACTGATTTCACCCTTTTGTGAGACTAGCACTGGGCACAAAGCTACCTATAAATCCTATCAACATTTACGGAAGCTACTATGATTCAAACAAAGCCAAATACAAAGGGCAAATGGAGGTCCATTTTCATCAACACAGAAAATGTAAGTATTGCCACTTCCCATGGTAGCTAGGTGACATATCTTACC